TGCACCAGATCATTATTTTATTTTTACGGATAGTCTCAGTTCTGTCGAGGCTATTCGCTCTATGAGGCCGGTAAAGCACTCCTCGTATTTTCTCATGAAAATATGAAAGCTTTTAAGTGCTTTATCTTTAAGATCTTTTGTCATCACCTTTGCATGGGTCCCATCTCATTGCTCGATTCCGGGCAATGAGATAGCTGACTCACTTGCTAAGGTGGGCGCTATGGAAGGCGATATTTACGATCGACAAATCGCCTACGATGAATTTTTCTTCATTTATCATCAACAGTCACTCGTCAGCTGGCAACATAAGTGGAGTGAAGGGAGTATGGGAAGATGGCTATATTCGATCATCCCTAAGGTGTCGAAGAGTCCTTGGTTCAAGGGGTTGGATGTGGGTCGAGACTTCATTCGTATGATGTCTCGCCTCATGTCCAATCACTATTCGTTAAACGCTCACTTGTTTCGTGTTGGGCTGGGAGACAGCAATCTCTGTGAATGTGGACAAGGTTACCAAGACGCCGATCACATCCTTTGGTCTTGTGCTGAGCATCGTGGAGTCAGATCTGAGCTGTGCGATTCCCTTCGGGCTCGAGGTAGACAACCTAATGTTCCAGTTCGGGATATTTTGGCTAGACGCGATCTGGAGTTTATGAAGCTCATATATGTTTACTTTAAGAATATTAACATTAGATTGTAAGTTTTATTAACCTTGTGTTTAGTTTGTATTTTGTACGTGTGGGTTTTTTATGTTTGTTTTCAAGATGAATAGAAATTAGTTCATGTTTTAGGATTAATTAAATATTTGTATCGTAAACCACATTTCAAACCTCCCGCTCCCTTTTCCCATCCAAAAAAATTGTAAATCTCCACTAACCTCGAGACAACCACGAGTATCCGGTCCAGCTCCTTTAACTTTAAATATAAGACATCAATAATGTATAACAAAAATGATAACTCGGCTCTGTAAAGTTTATTCGATTGAGCCTGTACAAATAAATAATTAATAAAAAAAAACTACGTAGATCGTTTTTGAGAGGTTGCAAATCCCCTGCGTAGACAATCGTTTATACAAATGTTTAGATATGTGAATGGACCATTTCATGGGAAATTTATAGCAGTTTCAATAAACCATTCGTAAATTTATGGAGATTTTTCGGATTTTTAGTGATATGAAAATTTAGTTGAAATCATCTTTTTTATTGGTACGAAAGGCAATTTTGAATTCAATGCTGGCTACAGATCCAGGATCTGTTGAGTAATAATGAGATCTTGAAATAGATTTCGGAAAAGTGACCAGTAATGTGAAACTTTTGATTCACTTCAATGTGCGTATCAAGTCTCATGATTTTTCAGCGCAATATCTATTTCGATATCTTGCAAGCCAACGACAGTGGCAGTTTAATTAGGCAAATAACTTGCCATGGCTGCTCTTAGCTGGTTCTGGATGCCCCGCGGGAAGTAGCCAATTTGCAACATGTCCGAAACCATATCAATATGGGTGTTAAAGTCCTAGGCATGCCCTGGTTTTCTTGGAGTCATAACCCTTGACGTGATTTGAAAGGACTCGTGTAACTATTTGATTCTTAAATATCTTATATTATTTTTCTCCCAAGGGTCAGAAGAACCCCTAGTTTAGCTCCTGGCTGCTGGTAAAGCCAACGGCAGCCATCTGGGGTTGGCTTAACAAATGCCAGGGAGTATTGTAATCTGAGTAAAACGTAGTTGTTATTATTTTTGGAAACATATTCATAGTTTTGATGAACTGGGGTTTCCTGATCAATCTCGCAAAAAATCAACCATGCGCGGCGCAAGAATCGATCCTTCGGAAAGCGAAATAAACTTCTCTTCACCGGTGCACTTGCAGTGTAGCTGCAAAACTTTGCGTAACATCGCATTTTAACTGCTTAGGAACTTTCATGAAAACCAAATATTATTGATACAGTAGAAAACCGGAAAATTCGACACGCGCCAATCGATTTGTACATGCACACCATGCCCGACGCTTTGTTGTTGTACAGAACGAGAGTAAAATCTAAAGTCGGGTGTGGGGTTTTCCGGTGTCAAACGCGATCAAACGCGACCGACAATATCAACGAACTACAACACACTACAACCATAGAGGTAACTCTAAGACCACTGAGTCCCGAAGAAAATCATTATTATTTTTGGCTCACTCAGTACCAGAACAACGGTGCCAAGCAGTCCCAAGCTATTTCACTCACCCCTGCATGTTCTGCATGAATCCACACACCCCTGATGTTATCTGTCAAACTTTCATAGCGAATCAAAACAAACATAGTGTAGTAATAGAATTTCAACTAGAATAGGGTACGTAAATCGTTTGCTTGGGACCAATAGGCTACTAAACTGGTGAGCCAATTTAAAATCGTTAGTTTCGTATTGATTGTTGCTACAACTACCAATTGATATTTCAAGAGAGTCACTCACAATCTTGCACACATTTGCTTTGTTTATCAATTTGACAGCCGTTCGAACGGAGTAACAGAGCTTGCTGCAATGCGTCTTGGATAGTGTCTGAAGCTGGCTGCGATTCAACTTCGCCAGACCCAGCTTATTAGCTAAGACCAAAGTTAAAAAAATTCGGATTAGATATAATTTCCTCTAGTAGCCATAACCAGAGAAAATCATTATTAGGATTCACTAACGACCCAGTTAATGTTTTAGATAAAGCAGGTGTATATACAATAAGCTGTAATCATTGTAACAAAGTATATGTAGGTCAAACCAAGAGAGCTTTAGCAGATGGATTTAAAGAACATATAGCGGTATTAATAAGGCCAAAAAGCAAGAGGAAAAGGCCTAACATATGATTTCAAATCAAAGGTTGCAGAATACAACTTCACAGAGGACCACCAACTATCAATGGAGGACATCACGATTTTATGAACTGTATCTACACCATGGAAATTGGATGTTGCAGAGAGCCTTGAGATCAACAAACAAGGGAATCCAACTTAACTCAACAGTGATCAAGGAAACGGACACAAATGGCTTTTCAAGTTACTATCTAGAACACATCAACGAGTAAGCAGTGAAGTACCTGCTTCTACAGGAGATTAGATTTAAGTTTACCTAGCTTATAAGTGAAAATGTTCCTATATAATATATCAAGCGTAACTATTCAAATCTACGTATTTGGTTTTGTAAACAATCACATCAATCGGCGATTTGTGGCAACTGCTAGCTTCCTCACAGAAACTAACAACACCAGCAAGTAGGGAAAATATTCCCCTACCTGATGATGGTGTTTGTTTGCATGAGAGAGTTAGCAGTTAAGACAAAGCGTCGATTAAAGTGATTGTTTACAAAAGCAGATACATCTATTTGAATAGTTACGCTTGATATATTCGGTATAATTCGATGTTTCTTCAGTCGAGTATTACTACAAGACACTGAAGAAGTCTGCACATTGTAGACGAAACATGCGTAAGTGAGGTAGTGGAATAAAATGGAAATTTCTAATCATTCTCTCTCCCCCTCTCTCTCTCTTTATACAGGTATTCCACTATAAAACGCCCACATTCATCTGGATTCATATGAGACATTTTTAACCGTTATCTGTGCACAAACTAGATAAAAAACAAGTTAACAAGAAGTTTATCTAAGTTACCAAAAGTTTGCCAATTATCAAGTGTCCATGGTTTAAAATATTCAAAAAAATGACATTTTCCATGATTTTTATTTAATTCACAAATTATAAATATTGAAGATATACTTTTTGAGATATTTCTGTTTTACACACTTTTTTTTTATATTTTCTCATAATTACTAAAAATACCATGGATATTTTTGTTTTTCAACTAAACAAAATCTGTACAAGTTCGGAATAAATTTTATATTTTTGAATTATCTACTGATTTTTAACTTGTATCTTTACGCTTGCGTTAAAGATTAAACGGACGTGCCTGCGTGCCATGTTGTTTGTTGCTTAATATCCAATTATTTTTTTTTTTTTTTTGTTTATTAATTTATTTGATAAGGCTCAACCGAATTAACTTTACAGAGCCGAGGATTCTTGGTCACTATACAATACATCTTAAAACTATAGTCAAAAGGTACAACACAATAAACACTTTATCTTCCGCTATCCAAAAAGCCTTCTCCATCAGAACTGGAGCCGCTTCCAGTGGTTTCATTGTATGGCAAATTGTTGTACGCCAACGAGGGTCAGAGCGCGTCCATTGCAGCAATGGACGCAAAACGTGGTCAGCACTCACACACTCATCACGAAACGGTTGCTTTCCAAAGTCGACGACGCATCGACCGAAAGAACTGCTGATGAAGAACAATGAGGAGGACCACACAATGGTTGCTGCCGAAAAAACAGACAATCGAGTAGCACACATCGAGAGTGGCCTGCTTTTGTCGACAGCCGAGTGAACACTGAATAATATCCAATTATGTCAAATTACATTTTGGAGCTGGATTTAGTCTTGGGATGTTGGTTATTATTTTAATGGAAAATGCATTGTTGATCTGGAAATGATCATAAGTATTATTTCTAGTTGCTTCCCAATTATCAGTTGGAATTCAATACAATCTTTAAAAGCCAAGGTGAAATTAATTTTATTCAGAACATATTTTTTTTTTCTTAAATTATCAATTATTAATTTAGTCATACACCTTCCACTTACATTTATGTGCCATATGTTCATGTTTAAATCAAATGTGGACTATCTAAATTATAGCACCTCATATAACACATTTCTCTGTTTCCGCTTTCTCTTTCAGGTATGTGTAAATTCAATCGTCTGCAATTCTCTAGACTAGAAACTACCCACGTCGTTATCACGGTTGGTTACCAGACGTTGGGCTTGAACGTAATTGCGCCATAAAGCGATAAAAGTCCTAGCTGACAGCCCATCAATCTTGGTCCATTTATGTTGTACCAAACGATCATAACTCCTCAAGAAACCCCTTCGCGGTGGTTCGGACAAGAACCAAATAAATCAATTGCAAACGAGACTCACTGTTTAATCACGACATCCCAAGAGCCTGAGTGAAACGGTTGGTACTAAAACTTTGTTCAAATACACGATGCTTCAAGGACGCGGAACCTGCGACTTTCGAGAATGTGTTAACGAATCAAGTTGCACTGTCGTCGTGGTCGTCGTCGTCGTCAGTACCGCTGTGATTTCCAGCGACAGAAATGTGCAGTAAACTGTAAGTCATAAATTTAAACATAATCCCTTGTTCCGAGCCAGAACGTCGACTAGCACCCGCAACCGCCGGTTAGTTTGTGGAGGGATGTGGAAAACTTTCACACGATCCTTACCCAGGGTTATATCACGAACATAGGTAGAACTCAACCAACCTCGGTTCCACGAGCAGGCAGCACCAGGTTAGCAGGAATGTAATGAATATGCGAATCAAAATCTCACACATCTGCATAATTGATAGGTGATAAAACAGTGTTACGACTGCAGCTTTTCCTCTCGATGGACCAAGTAGCCATTCCGACCAGGAAACAAGCAACGAAGGAATAGTTAAATAGTGCAAACCAGAGCAGGGTGGCTAGCAGTAATGCTGATGTGTTGGATTAGTAATCTTTGTGGGCCCGTAAATTTAGTCATTACAATGTCGGTAGTGTTCCGCTCAGTGGATCTGTATGCAGGATGAGAGCAAATTGCTGACATGCATTTAGCGAGGTATCTTGCAGTTTGGATCCATGTTGAACTCCAATTGAATTGTTAAGACGTTCTTATTGAAACACTAGACAATTATTCACTCGATTTGCTTTTAGATTGAGCATAATTCGACAAGTTTTCACAGCGCTTAGTTTGGAAAAATGATATCGATTGCGATAAAACCAAGGTCGATTCAGCACGTTCTGCCGGTAGAATTTTATGCTAGATCAAAGATGAACTGTTCCTTTGTGTAGTGTTTTCCATGATTCAACTGGGCAACCGGCTAGCCCGAAATGGCATTTGCGAGCAGAAAGCTTCCGAAATTTATGAGCAATTAAAACCTATCCAACCTCGTATGCCTCTCGTATGAAAGCTTGTTAAGCCGAACTTTGGTTCAGCGTCCACCTCCACACAATACTATGGTTGCTCGGGTGATGGTGAGAATCCTTTTATGACTTCACCATAGAATTTTAGGAACTAGAAAGAGGAATGGTAGGTATACTCCTATAATTGGGTTCCAACGAGTGTTTTATGGGCAGTTCCTCTACCAGAGCGAGCCTATACCTACTAATGGAAGTTGTGATGGATATGAGAAAAGTGAAAATTGGTGCTAATAGAGGATACGAGCGTAGCGGCTTGTTGAAATGAGATTCAATGCCGTAGCAGCAGGGTTTGATTACTGATGTTCAACCTAGTACTAGTTTTTCAACTTATGCAAATTTGAGGTTAAAATGTACCATTCATTCTGATAGGCAAATTCCGTACAAATTGGAAGATTTCAGTATTGAGGGTCCAATTTTGGCAGCACGTTTCCATTGGAGACCATCTATTCTTAATACCCCTCTCCCATTTCCCCTCAAATGCTACGTTATTTTTCGTACTCTTTAATTTGCATGTGCTGTGTACTGTCAAATATTACACTCAACTTTATATTTTCATAGATTTTCCAGCACTTCTTTACCTCTAAAATGCTGCGAAAATAAATGCTTCATTCACATGGAGATACATCAGCTTCTAGAAGATGTCACACGAGTTTTCATTGATTTATAAAATCCTCATTTTTCTCGCCTCGTTTGAAATCGAGAACGAATGAAATCATACTATCAATCAACAGCTAACATTTGTACACACTTTAAATCAAATATATGTGAACAAATATTCATTTACCCATTGACAATTAAATACATGTGCAATCCGTGACAGTTACTATGTTTCACCACGTATAGCTCACTCATCATTCTAAGTGATGTTTGGAGTACAAGAATCGAATTTGATGAAAATAATGTTTCAAGTAATAATTGTATTATACGAGATCATTCATTGTGTTTTTTTTTTTGTGTGGAAGCAACCCTCTCAAAAATATTAAATTTATTTCCTATGTTCCATTTATATTTTCTCACACTCCTCGAAAAAGCCTCGTGGCGTGACAAGTTGATATAAGATATTAACACAGCAAGTTGAGGTATGAACTCGACAAGCAAACTTACGCTTCGTCAGCGGTCATTAATTCGTGTCGTATAAATTTTAATTATCAACAGCCTGTCATTAAACCTAACATCGTAACAATATTGAACTTGGCTGAAGAAGCAGGTGGCAGTGGTAGTGGAGCATAAAAAGCAAAAACAATCCAATAAGCACATGCATTTATTGACCGACCCGTAGCTAATGGTCAATTTTAAATGCTCATTTCCATATTTGCACCATTAGTGTTACCGTCTGTTACACGTTAGCTGGTGGGCTACAGCTAAAGGGATTCGAATGTGGTTCGTGAAATTAAGTGCTATGATTGGTACATGAAATGTAAAACGATTTATTGGCGATCTCTAATTAAAAAGGTATGGGAAATTTATACTATGCATCAAAACGGTAGCATAGATTGTTAATATTTCCAGCGTCCAAAGTTGTCCCTAAAGTACAATCAATAATTTGTTTTAAATAAAAAGATAGTTGATGATAGCACTACTTTCAATTACCATGGAGCTGAATGGGAGCAATGTCGAATATTTATGGATTATAACTTCGATCCAAATATTCCTTTGCAGACCAAAGATGAAATTGCCCCGTAACGTGGGTAGATCACCTTTTCGTGGTACGTTACGGGATGTAAGATCTACCACCGATTCCTAGTCCTGACTACTTCAAACTAGGGGAACAGGATTTTTCAGTAGCCCAAGGAACACATCTTAGTCCTTGTTACTTGTTATGCCTTGTTGAAAGTGACAAGGCTCGGCTTTGTCTACCGAGGATGATCTTGAAACAAGGGAAAAAAATGAGTTAGTTGTCTTCATCTATGTGATTCCTAATCTTCTAATCGTTGTTCCCTACACAGCTAAAAAAAAGTAGTGTAAATTTCCGTTAGGGCCTGTTCATAAACTACGTAGACAGTTTTTTGGGATTCTTGACCCCCTCCCTCCCCCTGCGTAGAAAATCGACCATACAAAAATTTTAAAATTTGTATGGACCGTGGATAATTGTAAACCCCCCCCCCCCTAAACTGTCTACGTAGTTTATGGACAGCCCCTTACTATGATGCACATAAATGGAGCGTCATAAATCATACAAATTTACATTATAAATCGTGTAAATTTATGAGACATGTCATGCAATATTCCATATATTGTATGCAACTTTCCACCTTTGTTTGCAACATTTCTTGCAAGCTGCTAGTTTACGTGAAAAGGAAGTTTACATGCATGAATGTTTGCATGCATGGATGTTTACATCACCAGTAAATTTCAGATTTTTTTAGTGTGTAGTTTGAAGTGGTTAAGACTAGGGTTCTGATGCATGGTCATTATCGGTGTCATTGTTTAATTTTGATGCTAAGGAATCCTATTTTGACTGACAAAGGGGTGCGCCTTTGGAGGGTGTTTCAACACTCCGAAGGGTATAAATAGCGGGACCTTTCAATTAGAGTCGGATCCTTGCGATAAATGCAAGGGTGGCAACTGTAAAAAAATCGAATACTGCATCATTTCTCAATAGCGATGGAGTAATACGACATGCACTAAACTAAGGACACGTGATATACTACAATAGATCAATTTACTGGTCGCAGTAGTGTTTTGTCCCGAAAAGAGGAAAAAAAAAAAGATGAAATTAATTGAGCTCTTGAATCTGTAGCCACACGGTATTCCATTCAAAGGAGTGCCGTTGCGGTTCAACAGAAAACCTCAATAAGCCCCGAAACTACAAAGGCGGGGTGAGCTCGATCGTTCACTGTGAGAGGGTGTAGCTTAAGCGCCACCTCGTTTAAGGATTACTCACTCGGATATGAATTGCCCGGGATGAGACTCGCCAAAGAAAGGCCATAAGAAGACCTTGACGAACGGTTTGCAGTACGATCCAACTCCCCTTACGTCCGACTTACTAGATGCCCGAATCAGTAAGCAGACATTACTCACTCTACCCTAACTCTCCGCACGAAGGGAAGCTTTCACACAACTGGTAGTTTCCTCCACAATCCTCGAGATGGCGAAACTGTCACAACAGGGGTGAAAACCATTAATGAAAAATGAATGAAAGACTAATTCGAAACACCAGCGCAAAGAGCGAGGGATTCGAGTGAACTTTAATCCCTACAACGTCATGTAGGTAGGTTTTCGAGCAATTTTTTTTTCCTTTATTCAACGTCGGTCTCTGTTCCGCAATCCAGCGCCAATCACCGACGGACATCGATTGCCATCCATTGACGGCAACCGAATGTGCAGAAAGGCAGCTTCCACACATGCGTAGGATATCGCACCCATTCACAACACACATGGGCCGGGACCAACGGTTTTACTTCCCTTTCGAAGGAAGACGTGACCAGAGATTTTTATGCCTCCGAAAAATCCCACCGACCTCGGCTGGGATTGAACCCAGACCCATTGGGGTGTTAGAAAGCAGTCACGCTTACCACTACACCACTGGTGCCGGCGAGCAAATTTACATTAGGATCAATTTCTATTTCAAATTATTCTGGTATTCTCACCACATGGAATTTCACTAGGCCTAGGTCTCCTGTCCCATGCGTGCGTTCTCTCTAGCTAACCCTAGAACTGATTCCCACCCGACGTCACATGTGCACATGGATTACATATAGCGGTTACTCACGATCGTTGATGGCTTACATGCGGTCGCCGGTGCGATGTAAAGTCCCTCGCAACCGACGTGATAAAGCGACGGCTGTCGCTATTGTTGCGCGCGATGACTCCACCGGCTATTGTTAGACGAGGCTCTTTGTTTCTCTGTGGTTTGGTTTAGCTGGAGTTAGCGGTGCGTCCTTGTGCTCGGCTGGGCAATGATGCGTTCGATTGGTTGACGGTCGAACGGCAACGGTTCAAGTTTCGTGGTCGAACACTGGAAACTTCGCCAACGGGCAGTTTCGTTTGGATAGGG